TCCAATGCCTCTGACCAGGGAAACCTCGCAGCCTTCAGCCCGTGTGGGTTACAAGAGACCCGCAGACCTCCAAAAAGTTGGCGGGGGGGGCGGGGCGGGGGACACTGCCCCAAGAAAAGGGAGGTTCGCGAGGAGTAGCCAATATGAATACTTGTATGAAGTCAGCAAGTTGGTCACCCCTGGGATGGGCTGGGTCCTCTTTCTTTTCTTACTTTCTTCTTTTTCAACATCACACTTACAACAAAGCATCTTCCTTCTGTTCCCATTTCTTGTGCCTTTTGTGATGGCATGGCTCCACCTTCCACAACTCCCTTGGTCCAGGGGAAAAGAGAATTGGAAGAGGTTGGGGAGTCCTCTGCCATTTTGCTTTTCTCGCTGGGGCCACCTTTGACTTGTCTTAGTTCTGCTTTTCCTGAAATAATAGTTAGACGGGACTTTTGAAAGGAAATTGCTCTCCTCATCTGCCAAAATATTTGTTTTTCTTTTAAACTAGGGGACAGATTTCCCCATTCTGTTGTGACTCATGCTAACATAAAGTGAAATTGTCCTCTGATCCTATGCCTACTTATGGAATGGGGAGGTGGCCCAGGAGTGTACAGAGCAGAGAGGAAAACCAGCCTGGAATAGAACAGTTCTCATGAGAGTCCAGCATGGGCGAGGGTGTTGACCGAGACGGAGGGCTACCCAAAACAGAAGACAAGCACGAGTCATGCCCAGCCATGACTATCCCTTGGTGACCCAGCTGGGGGTGGCAAGAAGTCCCCCGGCCTTTGCTCTGCAAGTCCGCAAAGGTGCCTCTTGCATCGAACACAGTTACGGCCTCGGGGACGATGACCAGGGGGAGAAAGCAAGACCCAGGAGCCACAAAACAGCCTGAGGAGACAGAAGGTGACGACCTCTCCAGGACTAGGAAACGTATTGTATTTCCAAATTCCAAGAACTTGGCAAAAGGAGAGACCATAACCATCTTTATTATCCAAATTCTAGAGGAAATAATTCTGCACAGCACGGAAACTACTAGCTGCCATAGCAGATTGAGGTGACTCCTGAGGGTGGCCTCCCTGCCCGGATCCGCTCAGGGCTCTGAGAGGCGCCCGCGGGAGCGTCCTGCGGAGCCGTCCACTGAGGACACGGCCAGGAGCTCCGAGGAGGTGACCTGGCCCCGGTCCCCCTGGACACAGATGCAGAGGGAACCCTCCTCCCCACCTCGCCCAGGTGTGAAAAAGACCAAGGCTCCTCCGTCGGCAGAGGAGGACGATCCTCGGGCTTCATCGGGGCAGGCAGCCAGCCACAGGGTCCGGCCGTGGCAGTGGCACAAAGTTCATGGGGCACAGCAGCGGGCACATCTTCTCGTGCTCCTTCAGTGCCTCGCTCAGGTGCTTGAGCTCCTCCGTCAGCTTCCCGATCTCTCTCCGCAGCACAGTGTTCTCTTGCTCCAGGCACTCGTACTCCTGGACAGAGACGCAGAAATCGTGAACTGGTGGCTGCAACCACATTCCCTTCCCGGGGCGGGGCTTCCTCCCTAATTGCGCCCCCTTCCATCACTTTGCTTGCTTTGTTTTGCTCTCCTCCCACCAGGATGAAAGCTCCAAGAGGGCAGGGTTGTGCTTTTTGAATCAACCTGACTGAAATACAATTTACATCAAGTAAAATACACCGGTTCTATGGGTCTCATTCAATGAGTTTTGGCAAATGTCAACCAACGTGGATCAAGAGAACATTCCAGTCACTCCTAAAAGTTCCCTCGTGCCCCTGTGCAGCCCGCCTCCCCTCCCCCAACTGCTGAGCGGCTCTCTGAAGATCTCTGTTGGGGTCACTGCTGTGGCCCCAGCACCTGGAACAGCGCCTGGAACATAATACGTTTTGCTGACAGCATGAGTAAATGAATGAAAGTATCCCTTGCCTTGACTTCGCCCCAACACTCATCTGTGAAATTCCCACTATATCCAAGTTTTCAGAGGCTTACACCTGGAGGGGCTCATAGAGACCCCTCAGCCCAACCCACACAATGCAGAAAACAGATATCCAACGTGTGCTGGGCACTCTCTTCTTCGAAGGACAGTCCCCGCCATCTCTGAGCTGCTCTATCAGAAAACTCCTCTTTGCAACTGATACAAAATCTCTTGCTCTTTCAAACCCACCTATTGGGCTTGGTTCCACCTTATGGAACCACACAGAGTAAATTCAATACTTTTTCAACATTGCAGTTCTTGAAATATTAGGAGACAGCCCCATACCACTTCCCCTTAGGTATTCTCTGAGCTCAACTGTCTCAGGCCTCCTGAGTTCCTTGGGTTTTAAGACTTCTGGTCCTTCTGCCCTCCTGGAGGTCATCCCGACACACACTCTCATCTGCCGGGATCTCTCTGAAAAAGTGTCATTCCCAAAGGGCAGTGCATGATTCTGGGGATGGCTTGACCATGCACAGGGAGAGGTATGGAGGTGGCCTGCCCTGGGGCTGGACCCACACCTGCAGCCACCTCACCCTGGGGAGTCTCCCTGAGCTTGCAGAGAAGTGCAAGTTTTGTTCACCTCTGCTGCTTCTCTGTCTATATTTGGATGATGACTGATGATGAAGATTAAGTGTGGGCTCTACATCCACTTCTCCTGACTTTCACTCTGTTCACTTGGGCATCTTCCAGCCTAGCAAAATCTTCCTGAATCTTAACGTGTCAGATCACGGGTCATGATACTACACAGCTGTAAGCTGTCCATTAACTTGATAAGTAGGTCTTCCTTTTCTTCCTCCAAGTCATTGATAAGTTCTACAACACTTGGCCAATGGCAGAGCCCTAGGGCATGCCCACAGAGACCATCTCAAAGCTGACAATCTTATTTAAACCTTGCTGCAGTTTTGTTTACCATGCATGTCCTGAGGTGGTGACTCAACCTTATTATTATCCAACACATCTTTTCTCTGACTAGTAAATTTTTTAAAATATCACTAAAAAAGTCTGATCTTTTTGCAGGCCTCTAAAGCACATGCAAATTCTCAACTCTGCCCCTTTGCTAATGCTCTTCTCTTCCACTGGACTACCTTCCTCCTTTTCTGTGTGAGCCCAGCTCAAGCACACCACCTCCAGGAAGGCTTCCCTGATCACAGCACCTAATGGAACCACATCCCTCATTATGTGTTCTATTCAATCTTGTATCCTATTCAATCTTACTTATACTAAATAAGATCGCTCCCCAAAGATCAGAAATGTATAGCACCTAGGGGCCTCTTCTACCGTCTCCTGTAGCCGCCCCTGAGGGGCCACTGCCCAGTGACTCCTCTGCCTCCTTCTCTCAACCGCTTCCTTCCCTTCCCACCTCTAGGCACCAGAGGGACTGCACACAGAGGCCATCTGAGCCCTCCCCAGGCAGGCCCTCAGAATGGTCGGGAATACTCGCCAAGGCAGCAAGCTGCACCCTCTCCCCACCCCCGGCAGGCTGTCCCGGGTCAGGCTGGCTTCACTAGCGCATGGGCTCCATTCCGCCTTCAGCCCTCCTGCCAACCCCAACTCCTCACACTGTCCTCTGGCCTCCGACAAGCTCTAGTCCTGGAGCCCGAATTCCACCTACAACGCAGCAACAAGCCCTCCGTGGGCCAGGGGAGGCTGTGAATGGAAAGACAGGGACAGTCACCGCGGGAAGGCTGCCTGCAGCAGCGGGATGACCCGGCCGCAGCTCTGTGGAGCGCGTGCACACGCGCGCGCGCGCGCGCTCCACCCCGCGACTAGAAATGCTCTTCACCTCCCGGTAAAATGGAGAACAGATGTTCCAATGGTCCATCCCCGCGTCCTCTCAACCAATAGGTTTCAATGAGCTAACATTTTAACTAGATTCCAAAAAACAGGAAAGTCTCTTGCTGTGGCAGAATATTCTATTTCTATATTAGCTTGTTTGCCCTCTATATTTATTGAATTTTGCGGCAGGATGCCGTGAGCTTCTGAGCTTTATCTCTGAAAGCCATGAGGGGCCACACTGCCTAACGTCTTCCCGAGGCACCACTGCTTCCCCCACACCCCAGTCCAGCAGGCCCCTCGTCTGCCTTCTCTGTGGGGACTTTCTCTTCTGGGATTTGACTTTTACTCATAAACCTGCTAAGGGACTTTCATGAAGCTGAGGGAATAAAAAGGAGAGAAGAAGTCAAGATCTTCCGGTGAGGCCAGCTCCACAAAAATAAAAGGAGTAGCTGGAGCAGGCGGAGAGGAGGTGAGCGGACGTGGGGATGAAAGGGGAAAGAATAAGACCCACTTCACACCGAGAAGAAGGTACCTGGACCTGACAAATGTGAAAAACATCCTACAGTGCCCAGTGCCCCCCAAACAAGGAATTATCTGGCCCCAAATGTCAACAGTGCCAAAGTTAAGAAACCCTGGTCTGGGCATCTAAGAGAGGTTGACTGTGGAATGAGGGGCTGTCTGGGGGTATCCAGGGTCCAGGATGAAAAACCGGCAAACGAGCTATTGTGGGTCCCCGGGACCAGAGATGAGAGCGAAGGAAAAAAGGAAATGAGGGGGTGGAAAAGGCCATCAGGAGGGCACAGCCACACACAGACCCCATTTCACAAGCAAAGAAAGTGAAACTCTGAGAGGCGCAGTGACTTTTCCAAGGTCGTGCGGGCTTGGAACCCGATTTCAAGGTCAACTGCAACCCTTGAGCAAGGATGTAATTCTGCTTTCACTGGGCAGTGCCTGGCCCCAAATTTCCCCGCAGTGGTTACCAGCAGTAAAGGGCTGTAAGCGCTCAGGATTTTACAATAAAGCCTATTCCCAAGCCCTACTCTGATCTCATTCCCAGCAGAAAAATTGTGTCATCAGGACGGGCTGTACAAATTGGTGTCATCATCAGTTTCTGAACCAAGGGGGCGGTGACATGAAGCATTCTCTTAGAACATGCAACATCTGAAGAAGCCGTGACAACACAGACCACAACCGAATTGCCCAAGAAGTCTGTCAGTTGGTGACATTTGGGGTTCCTGAGGATGGCATCACTGCCTTCCTTTTCTGACTCAATGTTCTTTCTCAGTCTTACACCTTGGGCTGCTTGGCTTGAACCAGTCTGACCCACTTCTGAGACACCTTTCAGCCTGCTGTAGAGAGCTGGACTGTTCACGCACGTCCCTATTTGTGGATGTGGACTCAGGCGTGTGCCTAATGTTCCGAGATGAATAGGGGCTGAAATCCCCATGAAAGGTGTAAGCGTCTCGACAGGATGATTTGAAAAGCCACCATGAGCGCTGAGGTACAAAGACACACGTTAGGAACAGCTCCTCAGCACAACGCTCGGGCTTCCAGCAACCACCTCTCTGAGGGGAAAACTCAGATTGATGAGTGACCCCAGCCTCTCTCAGCCTCTCCGGGCCCTGCCCTCGCCCCGGCGGACTGTCCCCGCCCCCCCATGGAGAACTGGGAGGGGCAGGGGGTGGCCCAGAGGCTTCTAGGAGCTAGCACTGGAGGAGATTTCTCAGGGTGCTGGAGGTAAGGGAGGCTCAAGGTGAGTGAACGAGGTGGGCAGGAAAGGTGGGAACTCTAAACAAGCTCTAAATAGTCCCCTTCGTGGTATGCAAGATAGGCAAATAAAGATCTTGGATTCTTTTGAGATATGCAGCAATGCTACCCCACAGGATGGGATAAAGGACTGAGTATAGCCCTTCTCATGGGCTAAGCTCCAGGGAGTGGCGGTGGCCCTGGCTACGAGGTGGCAGCTTTCTGCAACCTTTAGAAGTCTCTGAGAGAGCAGGCCTGATCCCAGGTTGGAGTTTTCTGAGAACTGTGTCTGGTCCTCACTTGCCCCATCCTTGATGTGGCCTGGAGCCCAAGGGGGCCTGACGGGCTTTTCTGCCATGACCCAGAGCAGTGTGCTAGGGGTTCTGCCCTCAACTCACTCCTTGGAGCACAGTAAAACAATTCTTCACCACATTTTTAAACGAGATACCCCACCCTCAATATGCAGATTTTTTTTCAAAGTTAAAAAAAATACTCATTTTTTTACTATATTTACCTTTTTTTTTTTTTTTCCTATGTTGGCCCTGCAGAACATAGATCCCCATAACTGGGATGCCCTCCCTGGAAGGAGGTGAGGAATTAACAGCAGAGCTATTACTCGTGTGCTACCCTTCGGCCCAGAGGGGACATTCCTGTTCTACCTCAGGATTGGGATGCATTTCCATTTTCCTGAGCCAGCCATCTGCTCCCCCACCTCCCCTTGTGACCATTAACACTAGTATGTAGCTAGGGACAGTAAAGATATGGGCTACAGCTTTGGGGTCTGTATATGGATGGAGCCACTGTCCTGGCCTCCTGAACACTGTGTTTCTCAACAAGACGTGCCTTGATGAAGTCATCTGCCAGCGGTGGGTAAACCTGAACTAGTCTTCTGGCTCCACAGAGTCAGAGAAGGGAGTGTTCTCCCATGGAGGGATTGGGTTTCAGATCAATTAGTCCCATTTCCCAAAAGAGCACCTAATTGGTCATGTGCCATAGTGTATGGACAGCAGAAGAAGCTAGGAACCCTACAGAAGGGCACCCCACCATGGTTCTAAGCGGGATTGGGCAGGAGTAAATGTGGTACCACCCCTAACTTTCCCAGCCATCTGGCTCATTTGGGTATCAAATCCAACAATGACAGATACTGAGAGAAACCCATCTTCTTTGACACTGTAGTATTTATGTTACCTTCTGAGGTAGGCAGAATAAGGGCCTCCCAAACATGTCCCAAAGATGTCTACATCCAACCTCTGGAATCTGTGACTATGTTACCTTATGTGGCAAAAAAGACCTTGCAGATGTGATTAAGAATCTGAACGTTGGGAAGATTACCCTGGATTATGCAGGTGGACCCAATGTAATCACAAGGGTCCTTAATGAAAGAAGAAGTCAAGAGTCAGAGGAGATGTAACAACACAACAGTGTCAGAGTAATGCAGTATGAAAAAGACTTAACTAGCCAGTGCTGGCTTTGAAGATGGAAGGGGACCACAAGCCAGGGAATACAGAAGCCTGCAGAAGCCAGAAAAGGCAAGGAAATGGATTCTTCTCTGGAGCCTCTGGAAAGAATGCAGCCCTCTTGACACCTTAATTTAGCTTCATGAGACCCAGTCCAGACACCTGACTTCCAAAATTGTAAGATAATCCATGTTGTCATATTTGTCATAATTTATAACAGAGTCCATAGGAAAAGAATACACTTTCCTTGAAAACTCTTATGCTTCCAAAAATAGGAATGAGATCTTACTCCTTTCTGTGACCCAGCAGCCAGGCCTTGCCCATGGTGGTGCTAACAAATATTTGTGGAATGAATCTACTCACCCTTGCTCCATGGAAGGTCTTGTCGATGTCATTTAGCCACCACCATGGACATAATCACTTGGGACTTACAACTGAGTGTCCCCTAGTGTTTTCTTATATTAATGCACCTGGCTTAGACGAGAAGCTTCTTGAGGGGAAGGACCCTGGCTGTCCAGCTGGCACACGGGGTCTGAACGCAGGGCCATGCGCTAATTGAGCCACAAGTGCCTTCTGGGGTTATCTGGTAACATGAAGATAGAACCAGGACTGCTTCAGGAGCAAGGGGGGAGGAAGAAAGGAGGCAAAGGACATCCCACCTCTTCTGTGGAAAGTTTACAGAACCAGTCCAGGCTGGGAAGGACCTTCTCTGATCCTCACCTGAGGATCTTATCTCTTTTTAGGGCCCAGCCTTCCTATTTCCAGGAAAGAGTCTGATATTTGTAATTTATGCCCACTGTGAATTTCTATCAGTGAGTCACCTCTCCCTGGAGTACGTGCATCCTAAATCTGTTCTCAGTTCACTGTGAAAAGTTTTCAGAGATCGTTCTCCCCCCTCATAACACCTCGGTATCTGCTATGCTGTCAATGCCCCCAGACTCACCTTGCTAAGACAAGCTATGACAAGAGAGCAGGCAGGGAAGGGCTAAATTAAAACCCTCAATTATTCACACCAACCCTGTCTAAAGGTGAGAGTTCAGAACCATCACCAATTCTTTGCACAGATGCTTGGATGCCTTTGAGGCCAGTGCCTGATAGTGCAAATCCCATGTCCTGGCTGTGAGATTATGTGGGATTATGCATAAGGGTAGAGGAAAATGGAAGAGTTCAGGATAAACCCCAGGTTCCTGATGTGGGTGATGAGAAAGGTGGTTAGGTCCATTAACTCAACTTTAAGACAGTGAGAAGAGAGAGTCTCAGGGTAAACACACATATCACGGTCACGTTGCATCCAAGCAGCCTGCAGCAGACCCATCTGGAGACATCTAAGCAGACACTGGAGATACAGGTTCGGGGGTCTGGAACTGAGGTCTTGCCTGGAGCAATCAACGTGGGGACCTAACGCTGGGAGAACAGATTAACAGATCATATCTTCCAGGGTGGGAAGGAAAAAGGGCAGGGTCTGAAAGCGTGGTCAACATCAACACTTAAGAGAACTGACAAAGGAAGAGAAGGTAGCAAAGAAACTGAGAAGAAAGGTGGTTAGTAGGGTCAAGTGGGAAATGCGGTCTCTGAGCAGCTAAAGACCTTGAAAGAAGGTCTCAGAGAAGGGGTAGGGTCAACGGTGTCAAATGTTCCAGGAAGGTCACGGTTGATGAGTCTAGAAAGAAGCCCCTGGATCAGGCAGTGCCAAGGCACTAGGGACCTCCGCGGGAGCGGCTTCTGTACGAAGGTCTGTGTTTGCGCGCGCGCGCGCACGTGGGCGCCTGCGTAGGGTGGTGTGCGTGCGTGCGTGCGTGCGCGTGTGCGTGCGTGCTGGGTGGGGAAGGGCGGCAGAAACGCTAGCACAGAAGACTGGGGAATAAATGGCACCGAGCCCGTGGAGACAGAGGGTCTCTCTGGAAGGAGCAGGGAAGGAAGGAAAGAAAATAAATGGGACAGTAGCTTGAAAAGGAAAATGGGATCAAGAGGAGGTTTTGTTTCATTTTGTTTTGATTTATATTGAAAGGAACTTAAGAGTGAGGAACAACCAGCGGATGAGGGAGAAAGGTGTCAGTGAAGAATCAGAATACTGGGCTGGAAGGACGCAGTGAAATGAGACGTACGTGTCCAAACTGGTGGTGACCGGGACATGACCTTAGGGCCACCACCACAGTGTGAGGGCGGAGGCTGGCTCCCTTCCGCGGCCCTAATGTGGCTCTGTCCCAACCACAGGCTTACCTCGTGGAGTTTGTCAGCCTTCTGGGTCTGCTTCTTCCGACTTCTCTGAGCAGCAACTCGGTTTTTTTCTCTCCTTCGGACCTTCCGGTCATCATCCTCTGGGCTCTGGGGGTTAAAGTCTGGTTAGGTGCGCTGTCGGGGCGCCTTGCTTCACCCTCCTCTGTCCTATTTCATTTGCAATCCCGGCAGTGCTTGTTGCTACATGGGTGGGACAGCAGTAGCCCCTTGTTCAGCCATGTGCGTGGCTGAGTTTAACTGTTCATCCCATGAGCCCCCCCGAGAAATGTGTGGTGTGACTGCCATTTAAAAGATGAGGATAAGAAACTCAGAGGGGGTAAGGAACTTGCTCCAGGTATCACAGCTAGTAAGTGGGTAAATGGGAAGTGGAACTCAGGTCTGTTGGGACTCCAAACCAACGTTCATAAACCTCTACCCCACAGGGTGTGTGCCTGGAAGAGGTGCAGTGTCAACATCCATCTGAGAACAGGGAAGGCAGAAGGCATGTGCTCTCTGGAACCTGCTGTGTGCCAGGCCTTACACCACCACACACAAACAGGTACTTTTGATACTGAATGCAAATTTTACACTGGTAACTAATTGCAACCACACAACTCTACCAACACACCAAATGATCTTAAACACCACTTCGTTTGAACAACGCTTGATGGACATTTTGTTTCACAGGTCAGAGTGAATCAGAAAGCAAACTGATGATGTGTCTTGAAAGCTCTCAGCTCTATATGAGATTTAACCAAACCTAGTCAAATCCTTCAAGAGTTATCCTGAAACGGGCAGGCTAAAAAAAAATGCACCTACCAAGGTAAAAACACTTCAGTTATAGAAAAAAACATGGAGAAGTAGAGAGTATTTGCTTTCCAGAACCCTGTGAGAAGGTACCAAAGGGGCGGGGAGGGGGTATACTACCTGCCAAGAGGTTAGTAGGATACAAACACAGGAAAGCTACTCAATTATTAACATTAATGGAAAGCAAATATTGATAATATAAAATAATGGGTAATTTCAGTTATTTTATCTGGCCTTGTATTCCAAATATGAGAGACACTTATCTTCTCCCCAAGTTCCAGTGGGTAAAGAATTTTCAGTATGTGGAAGAATATAAGCCTATAGAAGGAGACAGATAAATAACATATATAAATAATATAACAAATTGATGTGGTCTGGAAGAAATGCTTAAGGGAAGAGGCACAGGTGTTAAAATGTAGTTTTTTAGAGGCAAAGAAGCCTTGGTTAACATAAACAGAACACCACAGGGGCAAAATGTGGTGTACAGGACAGAACTTTAGCTTTAGAAATACATAGCCACTGGTTTTGTCTCTTACTGTCAATATAGCCTGGGGAAAATGGCTTAAATTCTCTGAATGTTCAGTTTTCTCATTTATCGTTAAAGTGTGAGTCATTCATTCTTTCAATAAGTATTAACTGAGTACCTGCCATGTGCCAAGCACTGTTTTAGGCAGTGGAGATGCACGCCCTGAACAACTGATGGGTAATCACTGCCAAAATCACTCTAACAGCCTAATGCTTGGGACTAGCATATGATAAAATGAGATTTTATCCTAAAGCTCCCAGCACATGGTATACCCTTAGTAACCTCTGTGGAGGTTGCTATTTTTTGAGTCTCCCATAGTGATTGTCACCAAATCATGGCTTTTTGTTCACAATCAAAAAGTCATAGAGCCCAAGGAAGCAACCTGCATCCTGCTCTCTGGGAGCAGACACTGTAAACTGGATTTATCACCTATCACACCTGATAACCCAGCAGTAACATTTAATCAAAACAGAAAGAGGGGAGCTAAGTGTTAAGATAGTCATAGATTATTAACTATATCTAAATTAGTCCTCATAAAAATCTCGAGAGGTTATTATTCATTTTACAGGTGGGGAAATCGAGGCTCAAAGAAGTTAAGCAAAATGCCCAAGGCCACTCAGCCTGTGTGTGGTAAAACCGAGGTCCAAACTCAGAAATGTGTGACTCTCTAGCGTCACCTGATGACACTATGTGCCAGGCATCGAATTGGGAAGGGGGGGGGGGCATAACGATGATGACTATACAGAGCAGCAGAGTGGGAAGTTCTCTGATGGCCATCCCCGCAGGCAACTTTATTTCAGTTTCCTGAGTACGCAGTTGTAAATGTTGCTGAGGACAGCACAGAGGGCTGAATGCGGGCCGAGGGGTTTCCACCAGCAGCGGGTCTGGAGTCCTCCCACTGCGGGCCCCCACCCCGCACCCTTAGGCTGATGGGTCCCGAGTTCCCCATTCGGACCGTAGACGTTGGGAGTGCCTGGACACGAGCTGCTCCTTCGGGCCGAATTTCCCCTCTGCGCACCCTGGCGCCCGGGAAGGGCCACGCGTGCCGGCGGTGAGGTGGCAGCGGGCGCCAGCGCCAGGATGGCGACCCCGGGACAGCGCGGATCCCACGTGCGGGGAAGCGTGGACGGTGCCCGGGCGTCTGCACCCTCCGGTCTCTCCGCTTCCCGGGGCGCAGAAGCCGAGTCACCGTTCCGGACGCGGCGGGCACTGTGCGTGAGCTGGGGACCACCGGGCAGAGGCGCCCGCGGGGTCCCCGGACCCACCCCGCGCCCCCACTCCTGCCGGTCTCTGGCTCCCGCAGCTCCCCTCACCCAAGCACTCAGAGTTCACCACCCCGGAGCCCCAGACCCACCTCCTCGTGCCCCTCGGCGCTCCCATCCCCGCATGCCCGCGGGCCTCCCTGAGCCTCTAGTCCACTACCTGCGGCTGCGGCTGGTTCCCGGGCGCCGCGACGCTCCTCTGCAGGACGCTGCCGGCCGCCGGGAGCACTTGCGACATGCCGGGCGCTCCTCCGGCTCGGCCCGCCCCGCCGCGCAGCCTCGCGGAGGTGCGGCCGCGCGGCCCGCCGCGCCCTGCACGCGGGGCACTGCCTTACCGGCACTCTCCGGTCACCCGCATCCTCGCGCCCCCGCACCTGCCGGCCACCGCCCTCCGCCCCGCCCCCTCGGGCTTCCCGCTCTCCCGGCGCGTGCGGCCACCGCGCTGCCCGGGTTTCCCCACCCCCGGCCCGGGCCCGCCGGCCTGCGCGTCCCCGAGTCTGCCCGCCCCTCCTTCTCTCACTCCCGCCCCGTTTCCTCCTCTCCCCGCCCTCTCGCCGCACCTCGGGGTCCCAAATCCCACCCCTGCCGCGGCTTTCCGGGGGCCCTGCGCTTCGTGGAAGTCACGTGGTGGCTCCGAAACCCGGGAGGGAACGCGAAGCCCCCACAAGAGTGGTGACGCTGGGGCGGCTAGGGGTTCAAGGAGACGCAGCACAGCCTTTGGGGTCCTTCGGCCGCTCTCGGGGAACTTCAGGCTGAGAGACACAGTGGGTGGCTTGGGCGGGGCGAGGGGGGTGTTGTTTCCCGGTCCCATCTCGGCATCTTCCTGCGCACCCGCCTCGCCTCTCCCTAGCGCAGGGGTCACACTTTCTCGGGACTTTCTTCGGGGCGATCGGTCACCCAGGCGCCACTCTCACTCCTTCCTCGACCCGCGGCTCCCCTGCCCCCCAGGCGCAGGCCAGGGGCCGGAGGGCCAGCTTGGCCGGGTCCCACTGCGCACCCTGAGAGCCGCGGCACCCCAGGGACCGTCTGCGGGGAACATGTGTCCTTCTTCCCACGGGCGCCGCAGGGCAGTGGGAGAGAGCGAGGCGGGGCGGCCCCGAGGGTGAATTCCCTCCGTGTGGGGTGGAGAGGAGGAGGTTGTCCTGAGAGCGAATCTGCCACGGTGGACGTCTCTCTTGACAGGATCTGAACCTCAGTTGCTTTTTCTTTTTCAAGATTAAAGTGACAAGATGCTCTGCGCGCCTTAATGCCAAACTGGGGACAGGGTAGAGGTATTGGAGCGTTCCCCTCCACCTGCCTACCAGTGAAAAGATACAAAGTCAAGCAGTATCGTACTTGGTCCCAGCAAAGAAAAAACGAGCGGTTTCGGGTTTGTGGTCTGCATACTTACTGCGAGCCCCGAAAGAAAGAACCGCGAACCTAGATGGGCGGGTGGGAACCAGCGCCAGGAGGTTGGACGTGCCTTCCGACTGTGGTCGCTTAAGTCTTGAGGCTCGTGGGCAGCGGCAGGGGATGGGGGGCGGGGCACTTCGGGCTCTCAGTCCAGCGCACGTGGCTCTCCGCCAGGGTTTAAGACCCTGGCAACAGCTCTGAGACGCAGCTTGAGTGAACTTGATTGCCTGGCGTGGGGGCAGGAAAATAAGTGGACGATCTTGTCTGTGGGATCAGGGGCTTCGACCGACCGAACAGAGGGCTGAGGTGCCAGGCAGCGGGGAGGACTGAGGGTGGGAGCACCCCTTTCTAGAGACAGTGCCATACCCCTATACCATTAGGGCTACACAGCTGAGCCATCTCTACATTAGGTTGTCCGCCTAGATTTATCTTCTCATTTCTCATTTATCCTTGTCATCATGCTACCTCACTCATGGTTGCCCCAGAGCTATTACTTTTGCAAACCACACAGGTACACGGTGTTCCTAGTACAGCGCTACACACACACACGGACGCGTGCGCGCGTGCAAATTCATTGCAGTAGGTCGACTGAGAGCCCTCAATTCCTGGAAACATAAGGACTCTAGCAAGATAGGAAAACCTCTGGGTCAAGTGGTCTTGACTTTTCAGAAGTGCTTTCATTCTCCAGTGCTGGTTAGGAAGGGAAAGGGTAAGGTGAAAGCACAGTGGACATTTAGGTGCAGTCCCATCGTGCATTCTGGGTATCGCCACTCTGCTGTTCCCACGGAGCCACACCACCCCCTAACTCCTCTGGGGCTGTACCTTCTACCTCGCTCCCCACAGAGTCTGGATCCAAGTCCCAGCGCACGAGAACTCTTCATATAGCCATAGGCCTACTCTCTTACTTCATTCAGGGGTCTCTTAAAATATATTTAAAGAAGGAGTCTTGGTTAACTAGCAAGCATTTAAGGAACAGGTCAATTGACCTACCTATTACACATCAAAATGAACGGATTAAATAATTAGATACAGAAAATAAAATCAGGGAAATAAAACAATTAAATTCTTTATCAAAGCCCTGGGATTAAGACATCATAGAATTTTCTAAGCATGTGACAGGAGATATCACATTGGAAAGATCTGAACTGTACTAGAATGTTCAAGTCCTGGGGTGCCTGGGTGGCTCAGTTGTTAAGCATCTGCCTTTGGCTCAGGTCCTGATCCCAGGGTCCTGGGATCGAGCCCCTCATTGGGCTCTCTGCTCAATGGGAAGGCTGCTTCTCCCTCTCCCCCTCCCCCTGCGTGTGTTCCCTCTCTGTGTTTCTCTCTGTCAAATAAATAAATAAAATATTTTTTTAAAAATGTTAATGTACTTTAGATGAGAGCATGCCCAGAAATTACAAAGCGATGGGGAAAAAATATTCACAATAGCTATGATAAAGGGTTAAAATCTCTGCTATATATACAGCCCATGAAAAGGAATAAGAACAATATTGAGACAGCCTCTCAAAAGTAAACTGCAGGGGCGCCTGGGTGGCCCAGTCATTAAGCGTCTGCCTTTGGCTCAGGTCTGGTCCCAGGGTCCTGGGATCTAGCCCCGCATCGGGCTCCCTGCTCTGCGGGAGGCCTGCTTCTCCCTCTCCCATTCCCCCTGCTTGTGTTCCCTCTCTCACTGTGTCTCTCTCTCTGTCAAATAAATAAAGTCTTTAAAAATAAAAAATAAAAATAAAAGCAACAGGTAACATCTGTTCAAATTAAAAATATGTTTTAAAAAAAAGTAAACTGCACAAGGGACATGAATTGTTACTTCCCAACAGAGGAAATAATCAAGGAAAATTGATATAGGAAAAAATATATATTAGCATGAGAAACATTTAAAAATATTAAGTTAACAAAATAAAAAGTATCAAATGTTGGTGAGAGTGTGGTGAAACTGCTGCTTTCATATTTCATTGGCATTGTAAATTGGTACAAACTTATTGGAAAGCAAATTTATTGTCATTTTTAAGAACCATGCAATAATCATGGTTTTTGACTTCATTTTCCTTAGAAAAGTTTTAGAAAATCATCATAGGAAGATCACTGTAAATACTAAAGAGAAAAATACTATATGCACTGAAAGCTCATATTTTTAAGAGTAAAAAATTATAAGCAACATAAATGTCCCAATTATAGGGGAATGGCTGACTAAAATATGTTTTAGTCATGAAGTAGAACAGTATGCATCTTTAAAATTACAAGCATGCAGACAGATTTGCCACATGGAAGATTTATTGGATACAAGATAAAGTGAGAAAAAAAATCGGGTTACAAAAAGTGTAAGTATAACATGTATAAAAAATGTGTAACACTGCTGTACTATATGCTTAAAAAATGGTTAATATGGTAAATTTTATGCTGTGTTTTTTTTTTACCACAATGACAAAGTATATGCATATAAGAAAAAATTGGAAAAGAATAGAACAAAGTGGGGGGAGGGGGATGGGTTATCCTGGTGATGGGTATTGAGGAGGGCACGTTCTGCATGGAGCACTGGGTGTTATGAACAAACAATGAATCATGGAACACTGCACCAAAAACTAATGATGTAATATATGGTGATTAACATAACAATAAAAATAAGAATAGAACAAAGTGGTAGCTTTTCTGCTGTGGTGGTGGGATTATAAGTAATTTTCCTTTTCCTTTTTTTTTTTTAACTTTTTGGAGAGAGTTTTATTATGTTTACATCTTAAAACATTTTATATTTACAAGCACTAACTATTGCTTTCCCTGATACTAAGCTTATTTGTCACACCAGCATGCCAACACCTCTACTGACTGCCTGTTTTCTTGATTTTCTGTAATATTTGCTGGTTCATTTTATTCTAGGTCAGAAGGAGAAAAAACAATGAAAATGAAGGAAAGATAAACAAGAACAGACATTTCAAGTGTCTCCTTTTCTTCTTCTGCCTTTCCTTTTTATCCGTAGTTTTTCCTTTGAACTGCGGGAGAGAAATTACATGGTTTGGCAATTTCCTATTACTACCACAATGACCCTGGATTACATCTACAGGGACGGGGGGTGGTAGTGCAGGAGATTTATAGCTCAGTGATCAAATCCTCTGGTGATTCACTTCATAAGATGATAGTTCTTTATAAAAACAAGTTGCTCAAATGCTAGGAAACCCTGTCACTACTCACTCTCTTTTAGGGAAACTGGCTTTCCAGTAACTATATTTTCCCTGCTCTTTCTCAGAAGGTGGTCCTGTGGGCTTCTGGTGGGGCTAGAGAAAAGAAAGTTTAAGGCAGAGACCCCTGTGTTTACCAGAAATCAGTCATTGTGTCAGGCAATGGACAAAGCAAAGATCCCACACCTCAGGAAGCTCATGTTCTAGAGGAGGGAGATAAACAATAAACAAAATGTAGTATTTAGCAGGGGGAGATGTAGTATGTAGATGGTGGTATGATCTATGGAGAAATATAAAGGAGGGATGAGAGATAGGGAATATTGAAGGGAGACCAAGCAAGGTTCTCCTGAAGGAGGTGAGAGAGGGGGCCGTGTGAATATCTGGGTAGGGGTGATCCAGGCTGCATGAACAGCAAGTGCCAGAGCCCCTTGGAAGCATGCCTGACCATTCCAGAAACTACAGGACACTAGAGTATAGTAAGGAAGGGCTGCATACCAAGAGGTGAGGTCAGAAAGGCAAAGGGGCAGGCTTTTACTCGAAGTGAGATGAGAAAATATTGGACTTCTGAACAGTGTGACATGATCTAACCTTGTATAGGATCCCTTTGGGCTAGGTGTTTAAAACAGTCCAACAGGGGTAAGGAAGAAACAAGAAGTGATGGCAATAATCCAGGAGAGTGGGGATGAGGGCTTGGAAGATACTGAGAGCAATGGGGGCCAAGACACGTGTGCCAGGAAGTCAGTGTGCATAGGCTTATGGTTCTTCACTTGGGCAGGCCCCTTTCAAGACCCAGAGGGGGCCTAGCAATGTGTTCATATGGTGATAGGCTGTAATAAATTTGCAAAAGTGGGATATTTTAACTACAAATGGTTAAGACCACTGTCTCTTTTCACCCCAACCTCCCCTCACTCCCTTCACGTCTGCTGGTGTTGAACAGGCTATGGGCATCTGGGGGACTTTGCCAAGGAAGGCTCATCAGAGCTGTACTTCTGTATCGGGATATATGTATGTGGTTTGCAGTCACTTCTGTCTAGAGTCATATTATTGCAAGTTGTATGCTGCCAGGAATATCCCTACTGCCCACCCACCATGCTAACTCACCTGAGAAGGTTCTTTGTACTGAGAAATGAACATTTTTTTAAAGATTTTATTTATTTATTCGACAGATGGCACAAGCAGGCAGAGTGGCAGGCAGACAGAGAGGGAGAAGCAGGCTCTCTGCTGAGCAGGGAGCCAGACGTGGGGCTCGATCCCAGGACCCTGGGATCATGACCTGAGCCAAAGGCAGCTGCTTAACCAACTGA